TTACACCTCAAGTGTAGATGCATTATTTTTAATTTTTTGACAATTCATTTACACTTGGGTTGTAACCAAAATTGTCATCCAGGTGGACTAAATAACATTACTCATTAAATAAATCAATCAAAACTCAAATTTAACTCAACTTCAATTTAATCTCACTATCTCCAATAATATCAATATAATTAAATAATATCAATCAATTATTCTTACACATCACATCAACTTTAATTCACTATTCATCCACTCAGATAATTTTAACTAACCATCGCTTCCTATCATTTTTCTCCTACTTTACATCAAATCAACTTTAATCATTTTATTTAAATATTATTTTAATATATCCACTAACAACTAATCATACCACATTCTTTCACAATTAACTATAATTAAAAAATAAACCAAATAAAAAATAGTGCATCCATAAACAATTACCCCCTAAACAATCCTTGTTTGATTCCAATGCTAAACAGAACTAAGTTTCGTGTTCCGCCTTGTCATATGTTAATAATCACTACTCAATAAGTTTCAGAATATATAATTAAATTGAGAATGCATTGTCATATGTTAAAATATATGTGTAGGCATCGAATTTTAATATCTTATTAAGTAATATTTTTATTTTTTTTTAATATAAATTCATGATAAATAAGTTATATAATTAATAAAATAATTATTTTTTGTCCACAAGTCAAATCTTAGGGTTACAAACGTTTTAGGATGAGAAAAGAAAGTATATCAAATCATAAAGATCATTAATGTATTCTTCTCCAATACTCTCTCCCATACACTTATACGTTGGGGACCTTCCAAAGCCAAAATAATCACACTTTATCAATCAAAGTCTCAAGTTCAAGCGCTCTCAATAATTCTGTTGAACAAGATCGAAGAAATTCAAGATCAAATCAAGTCATATTCAATCAAATCAAGTCTTAATATTTAATACGGAAATAAGTCATTCGATCCTCAAATTAATATTAGGAATTCAAGATCGAGCCCAAGAAGATCCAATTATCAAATAAAATTTAAAGATCAAACCCAAGTCCATGAGATCAAGTCTTAATATTTAATATGGAACTAAGTCATTCGACCCAAAATTAATGTTAGAAATTCATGATCAGTCCCTAGAAGATCCAATTGTCAACTTCAAATTTGAAGATCAAACCCCAAGTCCACGGAAAGAATAATCAGAGATCAAACCCAAGTCCACAGATAAGAGGAGACATCAGACATATAGATATTCCATGAAGAGAAGAATCAAAGATCAAACCCAAATCCAAGAAAAGAAGAATCAGAGGAGACATTAGACACATAATAGAGATTGAAATTCTTAATAGGAATTCAATAGTAGATAATTATGTATACTAGCACACTCAATTAATTCTGACTTTTTTGTACTGTTTTCGCTCTCCCAACAATCCATCTATGTATGCGCCTTTCTTTTCCCTTTTCTTAGAAAACCCTAGTCATCGTCTCGATATGCCCCCCATATTCCTGCCGGCCGGCCTCCGCGGCTCCCAACCAGTCGTGGCTGAGTCGTGACTGGAGGCATCTCTTCTGCCCCGCTTGAGACTTACGAGAGACTGTTCGTAGGTGGGTCTCGCTGCTCCGTTTATCTCCCGGCTTCGATCGAGGTTGCTGGTCCACCTTGTCTAGCTCTCAGTTTTGGGTGGTCGTCGTTCCGCTGGGGTCCTTAGTTCTCGCACCTTCAAGCTCTACATCCTTGGTGATGCGTCCACGTGGTTGCTTATAGCATTGGAGTACCCAGCATTGGGTCTTTTTTCTTAGCCTTCTCGC